GCGAGCAGAAGACCGAGGCGGTTCCCGGCCCGGCGCTGCCGTCAGGCTCCCGGCAGCCTCCGCCAAGGCTCTCCCCGCTGGCCGGTCTCCAAGATGGAGGTAGCACACTTTCTAACAGACCTCGTGTGAAGACCTTTTCTACGGGTAACTACTCTGTCAGCAAACCTCTTTTAAAGCAGATGAAAACAAGTTAAGTCTTCAGTTGCAGCTTATAACCCGGGGCAGCGACCTGGCAAGCCGAGGGCTTGCTTGCTTCGAAAACCAAGAGGCCCTCAAATATCATGGCACTAAGTCTCGTGACCTTTAAGTCAAAGAGATTTAGGTTTCTTCGACTTTGGGTTTCCGGGCTGGAAGAGCCGCATATCCGCACTCGTCTCTGCTCTTACGAGTGCTAGAAACGCCTTTTTCAGCTGAAACAGAGATTTTGGCTGATTCATTGACTTAGGGAGCAAGAGCAAAGGAACGGAGCAGCTATCACGCAACTCCCACGCGCTGAGAACCGACAGAAACGCTCACAGGTAAAGCCTGAAGGAGCAGCGCTCTCCCTCCCCGAGCTGCCAGCTCTCTTTGGAGCCAAACCCGGGGGCTTTTTAGGCCGCGCTGACTTCGGAGGACCCTCGCCAGGGCCCGACGACGGCAGGGACGGGGCGGACGGCGGCTGGTTTCGACGAAAATACAAGGTCCCGTTAACGTCAAGAGGCGTTTCAGGGGGCTGTCGTTGCCTAGTGCGTGGTCTCCTCCCACGGGTACCTTTCCACCCGCCCAAATTCAATTAACGCGGCGTTAATTTGGGGGGGGCGGGGAACGCGGAGCCTGGTGTTCGGCAGCCAAGGCGCAGCGCTGAACGAAAGCCCTCTCCGGGTTTTTCTCCCCCCGGCTCCGCCGAGGCGCGTCCTCGACGTAAGAGGCGCGTTTCTGATCCCTCCGACCGCCCCTGCGCCCCATCGAAACAACTCCGGGCGGGGAAAAAACACGCAAAACCGCTGTCGCTCGCGGCCGCCCTTCCCCCGC